AAGAAGCAAGCATGAACCCTAAACCCTAAACCCCAAAACCCTAAACCCTAAAACCCTAAACCCTAAACTCTAAACCCCAAAACCCTAAACCCCAAACCCTAAACTCTAAAACCCTAAACCCTAAACACAAAACCCAAGAAGCAAGCATAAATCGCTCCCAAAGCGCTCCATGCCGCTGGCCGGTCCGTGGCGAAGGGGAAGGCCCTCCAGTCGACGAAGGGACGCGACGAGGCTCCTTGGTGGAGCGCTGTCGGTTCCTTTTCTTGACATTTTTTGAGATTTTGGTGGGGGCCTTTTTCATTGAGAGCTGCTGTAAGGTCTCGAAACGGGAGCTCTTTGAGAGATTTCTCGGTAATTGTTTTGGGCTTTAGGGTCCAACTCCAACTGTTCTGGGATTTTGCTTTTCTTTGCATGCGTTTCTACAGGGGCTGTATTGGGGTTGACTGGGAAGATTCACATGGGGGTTTCCGAAAATCGGGNNCTAAATAGTAGCATCCTTATTATAAGGACCCCAAAGCAAGGTGAAAACCCTAAATAGTAGGATCCTTATTATGAGGACTTCAAAATAAGGTACCCGTTATTTTTGGAACCATTCCCACACAAGGGTTGGGGCTCCGGGTTCTCGAAGAGGTTTTTGGTGGAGCTTCTTTTTTGCGGGTTTAGGGTTTAGGGTTTTAGGGTTTAGGGTTTGGGGTTTAGGGTTTAGGGTTTTAGGGTTTAGGGGTTTGGGGTTTAGGGCTTAGGGTTGGGGTTCTCCGAGATCACTACAAGGGTGCGATGAGGACTGAGGGTTATGTAATGGGTGTATAGTGTGTTACAAGGGTTGCAGGAAGGCGTCCTCCAGCTTTTCTCCTTTTCTCCTAGGGTTTGGAGGCTTTCTGCCTTATCCAACATATCCCAAGCTGAGAGCGAGCCACAGCCGTGACCCCAGACCCTACACCCAAATCCGTAAAATGTCTAAGAACCCACTAAACCCTATACCCGAAACCCCCCTTTGTAACTTGCGACGATCCTTCAACACCTCGCATGCTGAGGGACTCGAAAGCCTCAAACTACTCGGCCAGCGTCCTTCATTTTAAAACGTCTGCTCTCTAAATCCCTAAGCCCGAAACTCTAGACTGGCAAAACTAGGTGAACAAGGGTAGCCTTCTTCCTGTTATTCAGATTAAATAAGCGGACCATAAAGTTGACAAGGGCAAAAAAAGGTACTACCGAGGAAGCTAGACAATGCAAGTATCCCCAACAAAAGCGCGACGGCTCTGAAACCTGAAGCCCCCAAACCCCAGGTCCCTGCAGTTGAAACCCGAAACCCCCCCCTAAACCCTAAACCCTAAACCCTAAACCCTAAACCCGAAACCCTAAACCCGAAACCCCCCCTAGCACAAACCATCCCTTTCTGGGGATCCCAGTGTGAGCTTTCACTCAGGCTTGTGATATTTCCCTCCAGATAGAGAAACTCCATCATTCACGTTGCTTCCCGTAAAGTCTTGTTTACTTGATATGTAGATCACCCATCAATGCCCCCACCCCTCTGTCAGGATGATAGTCAGCGTCTTGACAGGAAGGCGCTTAGAATCAGGTGCCTACAGTGTCTTTGAGTGCCCTAGCCCCCCCAAAAAGGGTAACCTTTTCAATCATAGTAGGATTCTATAAGGCCCAGAAAGGTTCAAGGTTACCCCCTAAACCCTAAACCCTAAACCCTAAACCCTAAACCCTACTCAGCCCCTAAGGGTCCCCTAAACCCTAAACCCTAAACCCTGCCCCTAGAGCCGGGGAGCCCTTAAAAGGAGGCCCCAAACAGGTGAAAAAGCTTACCGACTCAGCCCCTAAGTTGCAGGGTACCCTTGAGGTTGGGTCTCGACGCTTTAGATCCTCCACAGGGGTCAGGGTATGGAACCCACCCTAATTCCCAAACCTTAAACCCTAAACCCCAAGCCCTAAACCCTAAACCCCTCAAGAAGCCAGCAGTGGAAACCTTCCGTGGTAAAGGAGGATTCTTGCGCTAACGAGTCACAACCCGTGCAAAAAAGAATATCCCTTTCACGATCAGTCTTACTGGATGGCTGGCGCCGTGAGGCCCGACGGCTCCATAAAAGTGGGAGGAAGGTAGACGGAGGACTCCCTAGTAAGCGTCGCTCTACTTGGCATCCTGAGTTCCACCTACCTTGTTTTAAAAGAAGCCCGTAAGTATCTATGATTCCCATTCAGCATCCCTACTACATGCGCGCCGATGCTGAAGCCGCTCGTGCCGCACCTCTAGCCACAGTTGGAAGCCAAATCTCCACTGGTCATGTTATCTTCCCTTAACCCTAAACTCTTAACTTTAAACCCTCAACCTTCACGCCCAAGGTATCAAAAGCTGGGGAGTTTCGCGCCGAGGGGCAACGTGTGATCCGTCTCCGCCACAGACACGTCCTTCTGCAACGTCTCAAGCCTCATCCCATGCACAGCGGCAATTCATGATGATGCTGTTTGCCGTGACACTCTTGAGCCTCAAAAATCTATAATCCTCGAAGAGCTTTAACTGGATATAAGAAAAAAGCCCACTTGCGAAGTGCCCTGCTTGATCCTCGAAGTACCAGTCTGAAATCCGAAAACGCTGCGCAGAGCTCCAGGTAATGTTTACAACTCGAAGCATTGTAAGCATTCGGCACAAGGAACACAAGAATTTCCTGAACTAACACTGCTACAGTTCGCTCCTCTGGGGACCACGTTTTCTGAAAGGCGCACAACTGTTCTCAATAACATGCAGGACATCGCCACAATCCCCAACAAACACCGAACCCCGCATGCTAAACACTCCAACCCTATTCTGCTGCGATTTTCCGGAGGTCCTGGACCCCCTAAATTTTCGGGCCCGGAACCCGAAGAGCCTGATCTATACACGGTTTGAAGGATCCCTAAACCCTAAACCCCCTAAACCCTAAACCCCTTAAGCCCTAAACCCTAAACCCTACTTTCTTTGATCTGAAACAGAAGCCCTAAACCCTAAACCCAAAAGGGACCCTTAGTTACAGAACTACACTTATAATACGCGTATAGAAACCCTGAAAGATCCCTGTAAGGAACCCTGAGAAGGTCCCCTCGAAAAGAAGCCTGCTTGGAAGGTTCGGTAGGAGTTTCTCATAGCCTTACGTAGGCTCCCTTTTGAGGAGCACGTCTAAGTTAAGACTTAGTATCGTTTTTTTGGGCCTATATTTTACAATACTTATACTACGGACCCTAAACCCTAAACCCTAAACCCTAAACCCACCCCCCCAAAAAAGAAACGAGAATCTTTCAGGGCCCTATGGCACTCCTGCTTACGAAATCCCTCGGCCCTCCAGAAAAACGCCGTCCGAGTCTATTTAGGGTTTAGGGTTTAGGGTTTAGGGTAGGACATTTTCAAGTGGGTAGTTACCGTTATAGGAGCCCTTATAGAAGGTCTATATACCTTATGGAAGCCCTATATACCCTAAACTCCACACCTGTAACTTCCTTTAACTAAACCCCTAACCCTAAACCCTAAACCCTGAACCCTATACCCTGAACCCTAAACCCTAAAACCCTGAACCCTATACCCTAAACTCACCACCGGTAGTTTCCTTCAACCGAGGCGCTTCTGCAGCTTCTCTGCCAAGCCTCGGCCTAAGAAAGCGGCGGCCTCGGCGTTCGCCTCCAAGTTGGCCTCGGCTTCCCCAGAGTCATAAGGATCCTGGGGGTGGGGGGTAGTGGGGGACGAGGGTTTAGGGTTTAGGGTTAGGGTTTAGGGTTTAGGGTTTTCGGGGCCTTTTTGCCTGTCATAAGGACATATTCAAGTCTATTTTAAGGAAGTATCGTCCCCTACCGCCCTAAGCGTCCTTATGACCTCAGCTTCCCCACAGGCCCGGAAAGACCGCTCGCTTACGGGGTTGAAGTTTTCGTGAAAGGGCCTTCTGGAGAAGGGGTCTCTAAGGGCTCACAGCATTCTATAATAAGGGTTGCTGTAAGGACTCTCTGGCATAAGGGCTTCAAATGTTTTCAAAAAAGTTTTGCGGGATACTCTAGTGCATTGTTGGTGAGGAACCACACCAAGAGTGTTGTTAGTTCTTCCGGCCCTCATAGTGCGCCTTTGGGTTAGGGTTGAGGGTGTTGAGTTGAGGGATAAGGGCTTATGTAGCTTGGTTTTAGGGGTTTAGGGTTCGGGCATTGCGGGGGTCCTACATGCTGCTATGGTGTGGTCCGACCGCTTCGCTGAAGGGAACTTACAATTCTCCGAAAAGGATTTCATGGGTCTTGTCTTGCCCAGATCCAAGTGTAGGGGAGGAAACATTTCACTCCGCTTGGATTACATAGGCAAAGCCTTGACGCGGCTGTTCGCAAACAGTACATCTGCACGGCTTGAGATACACCGCAGCTCATCAGGCCTCTCACATCCTTTCACGAACATGGCACCGAGACTGGACTTCACACGGAACTGTTACAGTAAGGCAGAGACACAAAAATACCACAACGCTTGTGGAAGTAGTGGTTTGCATAGGGTTTTCCAGAGCTTTATCTACAGATCGTGTATCAGGTTTGCATGGGGTCATCGGTTTCATACCACTCGCGGCTTTCCATGCGGCTCTCACTTATAACCCTAACCCCTAAACACACCAAAAACCTTAAATCCTAAACCCCTAAAATCCCCTAAGCCCTCAAACCCGAAACGTCCTGAAGCCCTAGACCTTTTAACCCCGAAGCCATTTTCCATGTGGGTAAGGAAAGGGGGGGGGGGTAGGGGACTATACTTCCTTAAAGAGGCCTTAAAATCCGAAAACCCCCTTCCCCCCTACCCCTCCAAAGGGGTTCCTATGAATTACCCAACATGCAACGCCGGCCTTCGTCTCGCAGGTAATGGTATACCCTGAATCCCGAAACGTCACTGTGGCCTACTATACCCTACTTCAGTTTTCTATAATGCAAGAATATACTATCAAGTACGATAACCTACTTCAATATACTATAGTACAACCTAAATTACTACAGTATACGGTGATATACCATGTTGTACTATAACATACTATGAAGCGTTCTAAATTAACATACTACAGAACAAGCTATAATGCACTGAAATATACTCCAATGTACTACCCCAAGCCCCAAACCCTCTACTTAGGGGCTGAGTACGCTAGCCCAAAACAAAGTTAACCTTTTCAAGTCTCGTAGGATTCTATAAGGCCCAAAAGGTTAAAGGTTACCTACTCAGCCCCTAAGTCTAATGTAGGGGCCTGAATAATTCGAGTAGGGTTTTGGGGCCCATTATACTATAAATGTCATAAGGAACACCCCAAAATAGTAGTGGTAAGTATTGAGGCCCCTACGTCTAAAATGGGACTTAGTAATTGAGGTTATAGATGAGGTAACTATACTTATGACCCCAATTAGGGTACTTATAACCCTACATACTAAGTCCCATGATCCTTTAAGTACGCCCTTCCTAAGCTAAGCCTTCCACCTCGAGCCCGAATCTGAAGCACTACCTGTAGCCGACAAAAACCTACCTTTATCGGGTTCCTTGTGCCGGTTTCTATAAACAGTTCCTCAAAAAGGTAGGGTTTAGGGTTTAAGGTTCCTTAATTTATGGTTTTCTAAATATCCCTAAACCTTAAACCCTACCTTTTTAAGGAACTATATACAGAAAACCATAATAAGGAACCCTAGAACGGTAGGTCTTTTGGGCCACAGGTAAGCCCAAGGCAGCCTTGCGTGCAAGGGGCAATGTGGAAGTCCCGGGCTGCGACCTTAAGCAAGAAACTGACAAGGCTTAGGAAGTAGGGTTTTAGCTGCAACCTTAAGCAAGAAACAAGGCTTAGGATTTAGGGTTTTAGCTTAGGGT